TTGTCGTCGTCGTCTTCATCTTCATCTTCATCTTCGTCTTCGTCATCGTCATCGTCATCTCTCAGTCATTCACGAGGAATTGTAACTCAGAGACGGGAGCAGGAGCCAGGCACAGGTAGATATATTAACCGTTCGGACGTTTTACCTGTGTCCGCCGACAGACATTAAGAAAGTCCGTAGTATCCGGTCAGGTGAAGAGTCCCTTCCGCGAGGAAGATGAGAGAGAGAGAGAGAGAGAGAGAGAGAGGAGAACCTTTCGTTGGCCATTAGCGCGACTACCACTTTCACCCGTCGCCGGTTATAACAGAAATTTCTTGGTTCGGGGTTCGAAGAAGGAAGAACCGATGGATGAGGCGTAAAGAGCAGCTTTCGTTGAAGCCTTTGGGCAAAGTATCCCTTGAAGGGTGAACGAGGTCCAAAGGGATAGATGGTTAGATAGATACACAGATAGATAGATACATAGAGAAAGAGAGAGAGAGAGAGAGAGAGATCCCTTTACGTTAAGTAGACTTTCATTAACGTTCTCGTCGAAAGTCATTTCGGCAGTTTTGAATTTACCTTAAAAAGTAGAAGCAAGAAGAGAGAGCGAGAGAGAGAGAGAGAGAGAGAGAGAGGAAGAGAGAAAAAGATGAAACTAAGATGTCTAGTTTCAACTCGACGAAAGTAATTTTAACATAACCCTACCTGTCGGTAGGGTTTTGGAAAGAGGAGAGGGTTGGAGAGAAAAGAACAAAAAAATTAAAAAGAAAATAAAGAAGAAGAAAAAGAAAGATCGCTCGATCGATGGAACCCAAAGGTAATCTTTCTCACTAGCATCTCTCTAACTCTCTAATCTCCCACGCGAGCTGTACATTTTCATTTACCCGCTTAGCTCGTTACTCTCTCTCTCTCTCTCTCTCATTCTCTCTCGCTCTCCCTCTCCCTTTTTTCTTCTTCTTCTCTTTCATTTTCTTTCACTCTGTCTTTCTTTACTCATAGTATAGTCTCGTCGTGGACACCGTAGATCGTGCGCTTAAATCTTCTTACATTTTTCACGATACCGCGGATTACTTTAATACCAATCTACGAAAGGACGTTTGACAAACGTCTAAGCTAGGATCTTGCTTCTTTGAATTCTCTCTCCCTCTCTCTCTCTCCCTCTCTCTCTCTCTCTTTTTCTTTCTTTCTCTTATTGCGTGGATAATCAAACACGTTGATGTCACCCTTCTTTCGATCTTTAATACCTAAAAACGACAGAGCTGTCTCGTCTAAAGAGAGAAGAAAGCAGCTGAGCTCACTTCCTCTTTCTCTCTCTCTCTCTCTCTCTCTCTCTCTCTCTCTCTTTCTTTCTCTCTATCTTTATCTCTTCCACAAGTTCGTTCCTTTATCCTCGTGACGATCCATTTCTTCGCATCGCCAGAGGCTGGATACGAAACCCTATTGACACTCGCTCCACCTCCTGTTCTCATCATCATCGTCGCCCGGTTTTCCAACTAACACTAAGAGATAGAACAGGATTCTCTTCTCTCTGGCAGAGCAACGAGTTCCGGTTTCTCGAGCCGACTTATCGGTGGTCGTCTGATAAATCACGTGATATACTCGGCAAAAAGAGAGAGAAAGAGAAAGAGAGAGGAAGAAGAAGAAGAATATACGAGCAAGCAAGAGAGAAAGAGAGAGAGAGAGAGAGAGAGATCGTTTCTCTCACATCTGCAAACGCGATGATGCTTTCTTTCTACAGAGAACAGAGTTCCCTGAGGCAGCTTACAGAGCATATCCATTTGCGTTACGTTTATAAAGAACCGATCTCATCCATACCGACAACATCTATTCCCTCGGCCATGTATCTATGTATATCACACGTAACTACGTCTACTACGTGTGTATTATTCCTGTGCACCACCAGAACTAAATCTATTTTTTACATACTTCCAAACAGAAAACACCGAGGCATTCCCTCGTGGTAAAGAAAGAAATAAAGAGAGAGAGAGAAAAAGAGAGAGAGAGAGAGAGAGAGAGAGAACGAGAAGACAAATTTAGATAGCAAACCATACGCAATTTTCTCTAACAACTTGGCTAACGAAGACGTAGGAAATATTTGAAAAGAACGATTTGTTAAACATCCCTTTTTCATTTATTACTTTATTTTCTTGTATTATTTCCTTCCACTTCTCGTTATCCTTTTACTTTTCCTTTTCCTTTATTTCTTTCTTTTTACTTATTCTTTCTCTTTTTTTCTTTCTTGTGACTTTTGTTTTTTTGTACCAATGACGATCGTTAGCCACGTTATTCAGGGTATAATATACCCAAAAGGTTTGAAGGAGGCTGCTCATACGAGTTGCGACATCGCCAACGATGCTAGAACTTTCAGCCGAGTCTGAAACTGAAGCGTGTCACGAGAAGTTAACGCGACGAGCCGCACATTTGGCCAAGGGCCACCTGATACAAACGAAAGAGGAACAAGAGAAAGAGAGAGAGAGAGAGAGAGAGAGAGAAAGAGAGAGAAAAGGGGTGGGGGTGAATGTGATCCAAGGATGCTGGGGTTACCTACTGTTAGCTTGGATATTTCAGTTGACGAAGGGAAAAGCCATGGGTTGGTAGTATCGTACCCACTACAGGGATTGCAGAGATCCGTTTGGATCAATTGACTTTCCTAATCTTGCTTAGAGCGTGGCGAACGAACGTCAACGTTGTAGATAGAAAAAGGCCACGCTCGATCCCGTTAAAATCATGTGACTCATTCGATGACGCTGCCTAGTTTTTCCCTTCTTTTTCTATGTATGTATACGTGTGTGTGTATATATATATATATATATTATATATCTTTTTTCCTTTTTCTATTTCGTTCGGTTCCCCGTCACGCATGAAAATCATAGATCGAATCGATTTAGAATTTTCGAAGCTCCCGATCGTGATTGTGCCGACGACGAACGTAAACGTCGCGACGAATTCCTTGGCTTTCGCATCGAAGAGATCGATACGGAGCAGACGATTTTAAAAAGATAATCGATTAGTTTCGCACCATGAAAGAGACCTATACAACGCTATGATATGAATTATCAAACGAAATTCGGTATCGAGAGACACCCTCCGATCGCGTGAGAGATTCTGAAATTCATTGCTTAACTTCTGCCATTTTCTTTCTTTCTTTTTTCTTTTTTTTTTTTTTTTTAGTGAAATTCCACTAAATAGAGAATAGTTTATCATCATCATCATCATTATTATTATTATTATTATTATTATTATTATTATTACTATTATCATAGTAAACAATAATTTGGAAACTACTCGTTTCTTTCCCTTCTCTCTCTCTCTCTCCGTTCCATCATCATTTACAAACAAATTTCTATTGGCAATTAGTTACATTATAATATTCAAGGATTAATAAATCAATAATATCGACTAAATGAATAATTCTATTAATAATTTCAATTTTCGTGAAATCCAATAACAATGGTCAAAATAATTCAATGAAGAAGAAAGAAAAGAAAAAGACAAAAATACAAGAAGAAGAAGAAGAAGAAGAGCAGAGAAAGAAGCAAAAGAAGGAGAGAATAAAGGGAAGACGATAAAAAATCAATTCTGAATTTATATGCGTTAACGCGATAAATATAATCGAATACAATTATATAATCAAGGTATGCATACGTTGAAAATGAAAGAATTAAAAAGGACGGATTGTAACGAAGAACGGGAAACATTGGCGATGAGAGAAAGAAAGAGAGAGAAAGAAAATGAGGAGGAGGAGGAGGGAGGGAGTAGAGGGTTAGAGGGAGAAATAGAAAACGAATGAGGGGAAGAAATATATATATATATAGAGAGAGAGAGAGAGAGAGTAACACACGAGAACGTGACGAGGAGAAATATTGTCAATATTTGGATTCTCTTATGGATTCGAATCGATCGATCGAATTATCGTCAGGCTGAATAGAAAATCACGTAGAAATTTATATTATAAGCTTTTGAGTGTCCGTTTCGCATGAAATGAAAGGTTTAACTTGAAGAATATATCCCCCATGGTTGAAACTGGTAGTCATTGGAACGACTTCACCTTCTCCATGGTTGGTTTCCAACATTCGTTCGATGTCGGAACTTAACGTCTCGTTAACGGCACCGTTTACGTCGACAGCTATAGCGCCGTTACGGAAATATATATATATATATATATATATATATATATATATATATATATGTAGGTATATAGATATACGTATTGCAGTAGAGTAACGGCAAAAGCCTTTGGCGAATATAGAAGCCAACGATGATATAAAAAGTTGCACGACCGCGAAAGAACGTTTTACTTGTGAACAATGCTCACCTCTCTAACCCCCTCCCCAATCCCCGGACCATAGATTTCCCACCCCTTCTTTTTTTCCGCAACACTCTGCTGCGTCACCGCGATGCCCATTCGAGAGACTTTAAGGGTAAAATCCTTTCCAACGATCCTTGTTGCACGCCTACCACTTCGTGACTCGATTATATCTATTATTTTCTTTACTTTTTTTACTTCTTCTCTCTCTCTCTCTCTCTCTCTCTTATTCTTTTTTCTTCTTTTTCTTTTTCTTTTTCTTTCCTTCTACTTTTTTCGTTTCTATTTCCACCACGTAAGTCCGTGGACGTACGACGTTTATCGTTTAATATCAACCTCAACGAATCGATCGAATACGAATGTTTTTTTTCAAAAATCTTTGAAATAATCCCGACGAATATCAACGACGAAACTTTCGATTAATTTATTTCTCTTCGATGTCTCTCGATGTACAGCATAGAAAAATATTCAATTGAGGGATAGAAAAATCCGGAGAATATTTGATTGGGAATGGTAGAAAGGGGTGAAGGGAAAGTGGGAAAAGGATAGGAAGGGGGAAAAGGACGGAAAGATTATGAATATGAATAGAAAATAAATATACACACAGTGAGATTTAGGAAATAACGAATAAATTATTATTTTACACACACGTGGGTGTAGTTCTTATATGTACAGATTTTATATACAAATCGTATTCATTACTTTTGTTTTTTTGTTTTTTTTTGTTTCTTTTTTTTTTTTTTCTTTTTTTGTTTTTTTTTTCTTCTTACAATTGCACTATCGCAGAATATTATAACCGAACTCTTTCGCTCGTTCGGAAAGGAAAGGAACGAACTTCTGTCGGAGGATACTGACGATCTCGAGAGAGCAAACAGAAGGATTTTATCTACGGTATATATATGTATATATCTACATATATATACACATACATAAATATACATACATATACATATATATATATATATATATATATATATATATATATATATGTATGTATATAACTTTCATTCGTTCGTTCTCTCTCTCTCGCTCGCTCGCATATTACGTATGTACAATATATTTGTACACGCTTTATATTTTCGAAGAAAAATCGGAACCACCGTCGGTTCGTCGCATTCTCTCTCTCTTTCTCTCTCTCTCTCTCTCTCTCGCTCTCTCTTTCACTTTCTCATCTTTCTCTAACTCTCATTTCACCCTCTCTCTCTCTCTCTCTCTCTCTTTCCCTCTCCTTTCTCTTCAAATAAATCACGTTAACAATATACGCAGAGAACGCACGCTTTTGGAATTTGCATTAACTTTAAAATAATTTGTTTCAATTCATTTCATTCGAGACTGTTACACCGGCTTGCAGCAAGTGGCCACTCATACCTATATAACTCAAAATACATAGTTACGTACACACACACACACACACACACGTGGATGCACATACGCACATACGCACTTACGCACGTACGCACACATATATACATAAACATAGGAATTCGTGAAAATTTAACCAGCTACCATGTCACATTTTCGATATGACTTCGTGACGACGGTTACGTAAATGTCGCACAAAACGTACCGGAAATGATCCCTCTCTCTCTCTCTCTCTCTCTCTCTCTCTCTCATTTTCAACACATGCGGACATGTACACACACACATACACACATACACACATACATACATAACTAGACATACAGACAGGCAGGCAGATAGATACACACATAATTCCCTCTTGGTGGTACTCGATAAAGGCAACTTTTTCGATATATAACGAATCGTTAGATGATTTAGAGAATGTAGGAGGGGTGCGAGCAGCATTAGTGAAACGTTTCTAATTTTCTACAAAAGTATTTTATGAAAGAGGAGATTTCGTGCGGTGTGTCGAACGAGGGACCCTCCTTCGTTCCACGTAGATTTAACGCGATTCTTTCTATTCTCGTTTGGCTTTCTCTCGCGCCATATGTTTCCGCGCGCGTACTTCCCCTGTCACGGAATCACCCCATTCATGTTCGCCGATTGGACAATGGCGCGAAATGTGTCGACGTTAAATCAGAGTATAGCTGGTGGTACCTAATGTTAAATGGCACGACTACGATCTTGTTAACTTGTCATTTATAAATGATGTACGTTTTAGATCGGAGCAATTACGCCGGAGCTATGGTCTGTGGAGAAAGATAGAATGAAAGGGAGAGAGAAACTGAGATAGAGAGAGAGAGAGAGAGAGAGAGAGAGAGAGAGAGAGAGAGAGAGTAAAAGAGAGAGACAGGTGAACGCGTTAATAGAAGTGGAAACGTGATTGAAGTATGCTGACTAGCACGCACATATACACCATTTCTCTTTTCTCATTTCTCTCTCTCTCTCTCTCTCTCTCTCTCTCTCTCTCTCTCATTTCTCATTTTCGTCATTTCCAATATCGTACGTTTCTAATTCATTAATGTTACTTTTTCATTCTTGACTGAGAAATAAATGTTCTGCTCTCTCTTTCTCTCTCTCTCTCTCTCTCTCTCTCTCTCTTTCTCGCTCTCGCTCTCGCTCTCGCTCTCGCTCTCGCTCTCGCCCTCGCTCCGTCATACTCATAGAGTCAGTCGCAGGATAATTCGGTGGTTTCTCCAAGAGAAGAGGAAGAGAAAGGTCGAAAGGGTGGTGGGGAGAGAGCTTACCTAAGAGAAGGAGGACGACGGTGGCGGCAACGGTGGCGGCGACTGGTCTACGTCCATTGATGGTGCGCCGAGGGCAAAGTAAGTGGCAGTGGTAAGGGCGGCGGTGGGGGTGGCGGTGGTAGCGGCAGGGGTCTCTCCAAAACAGGAACCGGAGAGACGTCCGGCATGGCGAACCTTAGCTTCTGCCAAAACAACTTGTCTCCCCATACCAGGACGGTGTGCGAGGAGATTCTCTTTTTGAGATCGGCATCTAGATCGCGGGGGCAAACACCGCCGACTAGGAGCAATATCACCGAGCGACCCTTCCCTTTGAGGGCGTCCCTTAGGGCCGCCTTGAACTCGAATCTTGCCCACTCGCCGTGCAAAAAGTTCTTCGATAATACGAGAATGGTGCGCCGTGACGAGTCGGCAGCCTCGGCTACGGCATCGGCTACGTTGCTGCCGGCACCTAGATCCCGATAGTGGAGGCACAATCGATAGGAGCTCTCGAGGCCAGGAACGAGGATCGTAGAAACGAAGGCCTCGTCTACCGCCGAATAAGAGATATAGGCGTCGAACGGTTTCTCCTGATCCTCAAAAGCCGCGGTCTTGTAGCAAGCACGTAACCCGCATCTACTTGCTGCCCATGTCCTCAGCGTACGGCGATGCCTGAAAGCCCCACAGACTAAGGCGACCATAGCGAAGATCAGTAAAGCGCTGGCGAGCAATAGCGGCAGATAAGTCTCGAGCGGCCGCGTCTCGATCGCCGTGTTTGTCCCGTCGCCGGTTAATGCCGCGCAATTTATGGCCGATCCATTCGCCGGCAAAGTAATCGGTATACCAAGGGAACAGCTAACGCTTGGCCAGTCGACGATCTTCTCGCGATTCCGTGACATCCACTCGCGAGCACGTTCCAGGTAAGAACACTCGCAGCTCCAGGGATTGCTCGATAAACCGACGTCCACCAAATATGGATTCTGACCGAGTTGCCAGAGGGCAAAGGTACCAAGACGATTCTTTTCCAATCTTAGTACTTCCAACTGACGTAACGGCAGGAACGTGCCGTTGTCGATATACGTCAAAAGATTGTTCTGCAAGTAGAGTTCCTTTAAATTCTCCAACGGCATCAATTCCACGCCGTTGAGCACGCTTATCTTGTTGTTTTCCAGATGGAGCACCAGTAATCTCTTCAGACCGCTGAACGTGTGATTACGAATCGCAATGATGTTGCTGTCGTTCGCGTACAATATCTCGAGATTCTTACGGCCAATGAACGAGTGCGAGTTAAGCTCTCCAAAGTTGTTCCCGTCCAAGTAGACCTCCGTGGCGTCCATCGGTAATCGACCAGGTAAAATCTTGTAACCGGAGCTCGAACAATCGACGACGTTAGCCGACCAAGACTGATCGTGGTAGCACGTGCAATTCGTCGGGCACGTCATCTCGCAATCGCAAGCGTCGAAGTCGCAACAATGACAGAGGGCGAAGCAGTGCGCCTTATAAGTGCAGAGAAATTGCGAGGGCTTTGCCTCGAGCAACGGTATAAAGGACTTGCGACGATCGTACGGTAATCGGCAATAAACCGACTCGAGATCCATCACTCTGGGATGTTGTCTAAGCGGTAGGGTATTGATTCGTTGCAACCACTCGGTCGTGCAGTCGCATATAAAGGGATTTCCGCCGATGTAAAATTCTGGAAGTTGCCTTGGTATGGGTACTTGGGTTAACTGGAGAGCGGATAGATTCATCTTGACGATTTGATTCGCGTAAAGATCTACCCTGGTTAGATTGGTCTTACCAAAAAATGTCTGCGGTTCTACCGTATGTATAAGATTATCGTTTACGAAGAGCAACTCGATGGAATCTGGTATCGAGCTCGAATGTATCCTCGTAAGTTGGTTGAACGAAACATCGAGGGTTTGCAATTTCATACCCGATGGTGCTACTCCGAGATCCGCGATAAGATTTTTATGAAGATCCATCCACTGTAACTTCTCCGGCAAATACTTGTAGTCGAAGTTCGCGATCATGTTGTCGGACATGTTAAGCCACAGTAGACCAGGCGCACCCGCGAATATCGAGGACACGTCCTGGAGCAAGTTCGAGTCGAGGCGAATCGCCTGTAACGCCGGATTCGCCGAGAACACGCCGTCCTCGACGAACTCGATCCTATTCCTAGCCAAATTCAGAATCTGGAGGGCCGGTAGCTCCGTAAGATCCTCGCACGTGACGTTCGTGATCTCGTTACCGATCATTCTCAGCCCGTAGAGACTCGACATACCGCGGAAGCCAGGCTTACCGAGACTTCTAATTTGATTTTCACCGAGATCGAGAGTCTTCAGCATTCGCATGTCCTTTAGCGCGACCGGCACGTTGTCCAAGTTGTTACCAGAGAGATTAAGATCCTGCATGCTCGAGCAGTTCCTGAAAGCGTCAGGATGTATTCCCTCGAGCATATTTGAGTCCAACGCGAGAAGAGAGAGAGCATACAAGCCGTTGAGGGAATAGGCGTCCAAATAGGTCAACCGATTGTGCGTCAGTTCGAGGGTGTGAAGATTGCTCATCGGTGAAAAGGTGTCGGCCGGTATTGTCTCGATTTCGTTGTGCTGTAGATTCAAGATTTGTAACGTATAGAGATCCTTGAATAGTTCCGGATCGAGCCTGGTAATACGATTGTATGATAAATTTAAAAGGACCAAACGAATCAAACCGGAAAAAGTGGCGGAATTGAGCCAGGAACTGGTAAGTACGTTCCTCGACAAGTCGAGAGCAACGAGCTGATTCATATCGGCTACGAGACCAGGCGATAGAACGCTGATGGAATTATTTTGTAATCTCAATTCCTTCAGGGATTTGGTAGCGTCCCGGAACATCTCCGTCGGTAGAGCAACGATTCGGTTGCCGGACAGATCGAAGGTCTCGAGAGATCTCAAACCGTGAAGCGCTTCATCTGCCACCATGGAGATCGCGTTATTCGACAGATTGAGAATCCTTAGACGTTTCAACGAGGAGAACCCGTAAGCTGGGAGTACGGATATCTGATTGTTCGAGGTGTCCAATGATTGCATGTCGAGGGAGCAGGGAAAGGGCGTGGGTGTTGATTCGTGCTGACGGTTCGAGTATCTCTCGTTAACGTCCCTAAATCCCAATTCCGCGATATCCTTCAACATATTCCAAGAGACGTTGAGCGTTACCAGGTTCGTCAAGGGGCAGAACAAATGTTCCGGTATTTGCCAAATGTTATTAGACGATAGATCCATCTTCTCGATCTGCGGCGTAGAATCGAAGGCACCACTCTCCAATTCCAAGCTATACTTTGTCTTTCGTCCGATCGAAGTTCTAACGGTTAGATTCCGTAAATCTCGCAAACCACCGAGAATCTTTGCCGGCCAATGTAGGAGCTTGCATCCGATCAATTTTAATGAACGAAGTCGCCATAAATGTAAGAGCCCGTCGACATTGAGGACGCCGCCCTCGAGGGCGGGATCGAACATCGACTCGGGCTCGGTGTCCTCGCATAGTACGTTAACTGAGGTCACGTACTCGCTCGTTGCCTGAGAGAAATTCGTTCGGAAGGAGTCGTTGCTTGGATAACGATGAATGCAAGTAAGAGCTCCGTCCTGCCTTGAATCCCAAGAACAATGCTCGGGAATGTCGAGTCTGGGCGGCAGCTCGCTGGTCACGGCGAGCACGTGGTACCGCTGGCAGCATAGTACTATAGCCAAGACGAGATAATAGTAATAGTAGTAGTGGTAGTAGTAATGCTGCTGGCAGCAGCCCTGAGATATTCCACGCATCTTTGCGACGACTCCTTCTTCTTCTTCTTTTTCTTCTCCTTTTCCGTCCTTATCTTTTTTTCCCTTCCTCCTACTTCTCCTCCTCTTCCTTCTCCTCCTCCTCCTTCTCCTCCTCCTCCTCCTCTTCTTCTTCTTCTTCTTCTTCTTCCTAGGTCGGTACTGATGTCGTAGTCCCTGCCCTCTCCAACGGGCACTCCTCGTCTCATCACACGACGAGGATCGCCGACCGAGTCATGTTCGAGCCGAGGCTCTTTCCTTTCTTCTTCTTCTTCCTCCTCCGTTCGTGAACGCGCGAACGCCCATGCACCGAGCACGATAACGACAACTACAACTAAAACTACAACTACAACTACAACGACGACGACGACGACGACGACGACGATGACGACGACGACGACGACGGCAGCAGCGGCGGCGACGATCCTAGGCGAGGCAAGATGCGCCCAGGCGTGCCTACCGTGGAGATTGTTTACACTTCCGGTGGATCGCACTTGCTCGTACGCTCTCTTTCTATCTCAAGTACAGAAAGAAAAAGACAGGGAGAGAGAAAGAGAGAGAAAGAGAGTAAGAGCACGCGCGCGCACGCTACTGGATCATCAGCAATCTCCTTCTTCACCGCAACCGATCCATTCGTTGGCTACCAACGTCGCCGCGCCGCTGTAGAATCACGCGCGGAAAAAAAGCACGATAAAAAGAGTTCTTGTTCGATCGGAACTAACGACGATCGGTTCTCTGCTCTTCTCCCTTTGTTAATACCACAGCACCCATCTACTTCTCTCTCTCTCTCTTTTTCTCTCTCTCTCTCTCTCTCTCTCTCTCTCTCTCTCTCTCTCTTTTCCAACTATCTTTTTTTCCTCTACAAGCTATCAAGCTTGTTCATGTCCCTCTTTCCTGTCTTCGTTAACGGTTCAATGAAACCTTCGTCCACCAACACCATGACATTTTCATCATTATTAATGTTTATTTTATCTCATGAGAAATTATATTTCAATTTCTCTTATTTTAATTTTTAATTTAATTTATAAATAAACACGTGTAATATCTATAAACGTAAATTGTATTCACATTAAAAATATAAAAATAAATAATAAATGTTATAAGGTATAATGCAAACGTAAGAAGTTGGAAAGCTGACTACCTCCTTTCGTTCTGCATCACTCGCGAACCGCAATACTCTCTCAACGCTGTCCGCCGCGCAACTGACGAGATGGATCTCCACAGCGTCTAACTCGTCGAGAGAGCAAAGCAGCGTCGGCGGCAAGAACGGCGGCTACGGCGGCGGCGGCGGCGGCGGCGGCGGCGGCGGCGGCGGCGGCGGCGGCGGCGGCAGCGGCGGCGGCGGTGGCGGCGGCGGCGGCTGTGGCAGCGGCAACGGCAGTGGTGCCGTCCGATCGTTTCTTCCCCTACCACCGAGTGGCAGCACTAACACAAAAGCGCACGGCACTTGCGTGTCCCTTTTCGTGGTGTCCCTTCGTCTGATTACTGCCGCGGAAGACCGAGTGCATAGAAGTGCAGCTGAAAGGTCAGAGAAAGAGAGACGGAGACAAAGACAGAGACAGAGATTGAGATAGAGATAGAGATATATATATATATATATATATATATATATATATATATATATATATAGAGAGAGAGAGAGAGAGAGAGAGAGAGTGAGAGAGGGAGAGAAAAAAAGTGAGAAACATGATCTTGTCTTTCTTCTTATTTTTCATGAAAAACCTCGATAATTTAGATAAAATATCAACGTTATTATATAACAATTATTAACGCGATAATGACTTCAGTACACTCGAATGAATCTTTACAATGATGAATTATAGAATGAAATTAAATATAAAAAAGTAAGAAAAAAAATGAGAGAGATAGAGAGAGAGAGAGAGAGAGAGAGATAGAAAATAGATAGATGGGTAGTATAGAAATGATTGTGAATGAAAGTTACTGACTATGTGATAAAGATAATTAGAATAGATAGTGTCATCGCTGTATGTATTTTAATATACCTAGTAGATAATTAGAATATTCAAAGATATGCTAATATCAAAATAAAGAACGGAGAATATCAGAGAGAAAGAAAGAAAGAAAGGGAGAGAAAAAGAGAGAGAGAGAGAGAGAGAGAAAGAGAAAGAGAGAAAAAGAGAGAGAAAGAAAAGGAAGAGAGAAATGGAAGATGGGTGCGATCTCTCACACCTTGCACCGAGAAGGATGCACCTGTCTCTCGACTCGCCTCTTTCTCCTTTTCTTTCTTCTTTTTTCCCCTTTAGTCGCTGAGAGCGTATACTACATATACATCGTCGACTCTCGTGTAAGATAAAAGGAGAGAGAGAGAGAGGGACGTCCCCTCCTTGCAGAAAATATACCTTCGAGAAAAAAGGGGCAGAGTCTTACATCGCGTTTCGATTGCCGAACTTGCACAAAGTACCGCGAATGTCTCTCTTCCTCTCTTCCTCTCTCTCTCTCTTTCTCTTTCTTTTTTTCTTTTACTTCAAGGAACTTACCCTTCATCTCTCTCTCTCTCTCTCTCTCTCTCTCTCTCGCTCTCTCTAGCTCTCTCTCCATCTCATTTTATCTAAAAGAAGACTTCTCATAAAAGAATGCTTTCGATTAACTTTTAAGCGATCACGTCGGTCCCGCTTGTCATCCCTCATCGACGAGCAAAAAAAACAGGAAAAAGGATTATATATATATATATATATATATATATATATATATATAACGTAGGAAAAAAGAGATAGAAAACAGTCCTGTTCGTCTTGAACGAACGTTAATTTGGGAAATGGAGTAAAGATTGCTTGGGTAGAGAAAGGTGCCGACGAAAAGTGAGCAACTTTCGACTCGACTCAATTCAAGGGGTATCTCATCCGTGACGTCTTTCGAATTAACCGACGAGAATTATGAATCGAAATACCAACAGTGACGCGAAACGTTTTAATGAATATAAGAGAGAAAAGGGAAGGAAATATTAGGGAAGTGGAGGGGAGCGGCGGGGGGGGGGAGGTGAGGTTAATGCGTGAGACAAGAAGAAATCTTTTTACACTCACTCTCTCTTTTTTATTTCTCTCTCTCTCTTTCTCTCTCTCTCTCTTTCTCTTTCTCTTTCTCTTTCTTTCTTTCTCTCTATCGCATACGAAAGTCTTATCTAAAACCGTGCCGAGTTTTAGTCCGTCCAAGAAAATTGTGAATTATCGGACACAAATAAATATATTATAATTACGTTTAGTCCATCCCATCCCTTCTCCCCACACCCCCACACCCCCCCCCCCAACTCCAACGCCTAAATTCCCATGACGTTATTTCGGTTTTCTTTCCTTTTTAGCCTTTCTCATCCATAATGTAGTAACGTTTCGATCGTACATCATTTAATCTCCGCACGCCCGGTGATACTTCGTTGTTTAAGGATCATAAATAAAACAGGTAGCAAGTCTGTTCCTCGTAGAAATGTTCTTTAAGAGATAAGCTATTCGTTGGAGGATAACGCCTGTCCTATCGGTCGCGTTATTTTTGCAATACGAAAAAGAAAAGGCAGACAGATAAACAGACAAACAGACAGACAGACAGACACAGAGAAAGAGAGAGAGAGAGAGAGAGAGAGAGAGAGAGACAAATAAGAAAGAAAAGAAGTACACGTCGTCTTCGAGTATTGCTAAAATTTCATGACTTCCACGTGAAGGGGATTACCGAAGACTTTCGAGAGTCTCCAGTCACTCGGAGTACCTTCGAGACT